ACATACTCATCATAAAAAAGAATTATCATATTGTTATATTTCTCTTGATTCTTTTTAAAAACAAATTGCCAATATTAACTCATTTTTTCAAATATGTTAAGTTAGTTAGATGTATTACCTTAGATATCCTAGTAAAGAAAGAAACAAAGTTGACTTGGTAGTAATCATAAAAAATAATCCTATCATAAGTATAGAGGTCCAAAGTATTATTGAACATACTCATCATAAAAAAGAATTATCATATTGTTATATTTCTCTTGATTCTTTTTAAAAACAAATTGCCAATATTAACTCATTTTTTCAAATATGTTAAGTTAGTTAGATGTATTACCTTAGATATCCTAGTAAAGAAAGAAACAAAGTTGACTTGGTAGTAATCATAAAAAATAATCCTATCATAAGTATAGAGGTCCAAAGTATTATTGAACATACTCATCATAAAAAAGAATTATCATATTGTTATATTTCTCTTGATTCTTTTTAAAAACAAATTGCCAATATTAACTCATTTTTTCAAATATGTTAAGTTAGTTAGATGTATTACCTTAGATATCCTAGTAAAGAAAGAAACAAAGTTGACTTGGTAGTAATCATAAAAAATAATCCTATCATAAGTATAGAGGTCCAAAGTATTATTGAACATACTCATCATAAAAAAGAATTATCATATTGTTATATTTCTCTTGATTCTTTTTAAAAACAAATTGCCAATATTAACTCATTTTTTCAAATATGTTAAGTTAGTTAGATGTATTACCTTAGATATCCTAGTAAAGAAAGAAACAAAGTTGACTTGGTAGTAATCATAAAAAATAATCCTATCATAAGTATAGAGGTCCAAAGTATTATTGAACATACTCATCATAAAAAAGAATTATCATATTGTTATATTTCTCTTGATTCTTTTTAAAAACAAATTGCCAATATTAACTCATTTTTTCAAATATGTTAAGTTAGTTAGATGTATTACCTTAGATATCCTAGTAAAGAAAGAAACAAAGTTGACTTGGTAGTAATCATAAAAAATAATCCTATCATAAGTATAGAGGTCCAAAGTATTATTGAACATACTCATCATAAAAAAGAATTATCATATTGTTATATTTCTCTTGATTCTTTTTAAAAACAAATTGCCAATATTAACTCATTTTTTCAAATATGTTAAGTTAGTTAGATGTATTACCTTAGATATCCTAGTAAAGAAAGAAACAAAGTTGACTTGGTAGTAATCATAAAAAATAATCCTATCATAAGTATAGAGGTCCAAAGTATTATTGAACATACTCATCATAAAAAAGAATTATCATATTGTTATATTTCTCTTGATTCTTTTTAAAAACAAATTGCCAATATTAACTCATTTTTTCAAATATGTTAAGTTAGTTAGATGTATTACCTTAGATATCCTAGTAAAGAAAGAAACAAAGTTGACTTGGTAGTAATCATAAAAAATAATCCTATCATAAGTATAGAGGTCCAAAGTATTATTGAACATACTCATCATAAAAAAGAATTATCATATTGTTATATTTCTCTTGATTCTTTTTAAAAACAAATTGCCAATATTAACTCATTTTTTCAAATATGTTAAGTTAGTTAGATGTATTACCTTAGATATCCTAGTAAAGAAAGAAACAAAGTTGACTTGGTAGTAATCATAAAAAATAATCCTATCATAAGTATAGAGGTCCAAAGTATTATTGAACATACTCATCATAAAAAAGAATTATCATATTGTTATATTTCTCTTGATTCTTTTTAAAAACAAATTGCCAATATTAACTCATTTTTTCAAATATGTTAAGTTAGTTAGATGTATTACCTTAGATATCCTAGTAAAGAAAGAAACAAAGTTGACTTGGTAGTAATCATAAAAAATAATCCTATCATAAGTATAGAGGTCCAAAGTATTATTGAACATACTCATCATAAAAAAGAATTATCATATTGTTATATTTCTCTTGATTCTTTTTAAAAACAAATTGCCAATATTAACTCATTTTTTCAAATATGTTAAGTTAGTTAGATGTATTACCTTAGATATCCTAGTAAAGAAAGAAACAAAGTTGACTTGGTAGTAATCATAAAAAATAATCCTATCATAAGTATAGAGGTCCAAAGTATTATTGAACATACTCATCATAAAAAAGAATTATCATATTGTTATATTTCTCTTGATTCTTTTTAAAAACAAATTGCCAATATTAACTCATTTTTTCAAATATGTTAAGTTAGTTAGATGTATTACCTTAGATATCCTAGTAAAGAAAGAAACAAAGTTGACTTGGTAGTAATCATAAAAAATAATCCTATCATAAGTATAGAGGTCCAAAGTATTATTGAACATACTCATCATAAAAAAGAATTATCATATTGTTATATTTCTCTTGATTCTTTTTAAAAACAAATTGCCAATATTAACTCATTTTTTCAAATATGTTAAGTTAGTTAGATGTATTACCTTAGATATCCTAGTAAAGAAAGAAACAAAGTTGACTTGGTAGTAATCATAAAAAATAATCCTATCATAAGTATAGAGGTCCAAAGTATTATTGAACATACTCATCATAAAAAAGAATTATCATATTGTTATATTTCTCTTGATTCTTTTTAAAAACAAATTGCCAATATTAACTCATTTTTTCAAATATGTTAAGTTAGTTAGATGTATTACCTTAGATATCCTAGTAAAGAAAGAAACAAAGTATATATATATCATCAATTTAATTAGTTTTCATTATTTATTTATAGTAGTGGTCTATCATTCTCTAAGATTTAACAAATACCAGATTAATACTAACTTTTTTTAGGATATGCACCACATAGAACCTTGTAGAATGACATTATTAAAGTAAGTCATATTATGATACTAGATGTGATGATCCAAGCATAAAAAAATGTATATAACTGAATAAATTCTCTTAGTACCTGCTTCATACATGAGACTATGTCTTTAGATATACTTCATAGTTTTGTTGGCATTTTATTTTAATATACTAATAAGATTTTAAGTTCTCAAATTCTATGTCTCTTAAGTTAGTAGTAAAATAATAAATTTCTTAAAAATAAAGTTGCTTTGATCTATAAGTTGGTTAAGATGTAGAGTAATAACTTCAATTGCATTATAAATTTCTAATGGCTATATGATAGTAGGTCACTATGGAGAATCTTTTATTACAAACTTATTCAATAATGACCAACCTTCATAAGTTGGTTAAGATGTAGAGTAATAACTTCAATTACATTATAAATTTCTAATGGCTATATGATAATAGGTCACTATGGAGAATCTTTTATTACGAACTTATGCAATAATGACCAACCTTTGGAACTTTTGAACTTGAACATGTTAGGACTTTTAGATAAGTTGTTGACTCTTTGGCCTTGTAGGAACTTTGAGTATGGAATCCATTCAACATTAGTTGCTTTTAAGGTTTATAACTTCTGTAATTTCTAAATGAATAGAGATCTTGCATGCCATTTAAATTTATGGAGACTTTCAATAAATACTCTATCCACTAATAGGTAAGGGCAATTACATGCATAACACATGAAACTAGATAGTTACAAAACTAGCCCATTCTTATATCGATTTTTAAATCCTTACTCAAATATTGTAATTCATAATAAAATCCCAACTCATATTTTCAATTTTTGCAAAATTCATAATAGTTTAATCATGAAATATATAAATGCATGAGTTTAGTAGTTTAAAAAATGACATGGGTCTAGGTTTTATTAGTAAGAAATTTTTGATGTATTATTTATATAATTCCTTCTAAGTAGTATCTATTTTTATCATAAATGAAAATGTTCATATATATATATATATATATGAACTTTAGAGATCTCTGTTCTAGTATAGTTAGGAGAAATCAATAGATGTCCTAGTTATTAGCAAGTGATGGGGTTTCATTAACTTGATTATTTTCTTGATATGAGGAGATATCTAATGAATAGAAAGACACAAATCAAATGTTAATGATTGGAGAACATCAATTGGTGTTAGCTAGATTATGACAAATAAAAAAATAAAAAAGGTCGGGCATTCTCAAATATGAGCCGGATAAAATAAGTGAATAATAAGAGTAAAATGTTTATGGAATGTTATTTGTCTTAGTCATTTTATTATAAAAGTGGAGACCTAAGAACTAGCAAGACGTGTATTAAATGTAGATAAAAATTTTTTAGATATTTGTTTTTAGCAAACATCATTTGTTGCAATAGGGAGTAATGTTGGAGCTTAAATTTTTGTTAAAGAATTAGCTTAATTATTCTCTTAATCAGGAGGAATACTAGGTAGCTAAAAAGATATGTTTAATATTACTCGTTGGTGGGCATCAAATATTAATGGACAATACACAATGGTTCATGAAGAGCATAAGAGGTTCGACGAAGTTAGAATATTGAATTAGTTGTTTTTTTTAAAGGATATTGAGAAACTAAGATAATTGATGTCTAATGTTAATGACTAACAGCTACTATTAAATATCATTCTTTGGTAGATATTAGGCAACAATCAATAAAAAATATTAGACGTTGGATAACATTGCATATTGACCATCATACATCGATGGCAGATGAAAGTTGAACATTGAGCAATAATATGAATGATTGACTATGAATGTTTGAATTCAGAAATGGTCGATGATCAACATGATAATTCTCTTCATAAAGGGATGAATCTTACGCTAGCTTAATTTGTGTCCTGATGATGCACTCATTTTGACAAAAACCTTTCAAAGTTTAGAGGAACTTTGCCTCACAAAAATATTCTAAAGCAGCCAGTTATTGTCTGTATTATTGATTTACACTCATTTCAGATCAAATCAATTCATTCATAGTACTATGAATTTCATCTCATTAAACTGTTCTACCTCTATAAATTTACTAAAACTGAAATAATATACACAATTAGTCTGAATGATGCCAAAATAAGTCTATTTGAATCTAACATTTGAAGATGATAATTTGAGCTCAAATATAAACAAATGCAGCGATTCTCCCCTTAATAAAAAGCAAACCTTCCCTGATTCACATGCGTATGTATATACATTTACATAATTACCAAAAGAAAAAAAAAAACAGTACATAAAATGAAACCACCACACATCCTGCCCACCTGAACATCATATGCCTCACACGCACATATTTTGTAGACCAATGAATCCAAAATACATACTAAAATGGACCCTTTTTCATATTTCCAACGCTTTTATCCAGCATTAAGAAAAAACCTTGAATGAGTACAACATTTCCCATGATTAAAACCTGAAAGTATGCACAGATTAGACGTGAGGGCATCAAATTAAAGCACCGGAATCTAATCATCATATATGCTGAAGACGACAAGTTCAGCCATGGCGGATGCGGGATGAAGAGCTATAAGGAGTGGAGGGGGTGATACGCCAGTTGGCAAAGGCTTGTAGGGTTCGCATGTCGGCTCTATAATGAGTCTGCGTGAAGTCGAATAACTCCGCCCACGTGAAGTCGGGGTACTTCCTCGGATGTTCTTCGTCCACAAGGCATTCGGGCGGACTTACCACCCTGCTTTCTGTCGGACATAGAAAGAAGACAAGCGACCTCCTTTCTCTCACTTTGTTCACCACTGCTCTGTGCAAGCAGCTCTTATATCTACCGTTCGTTAGTGCCTGTAAAATGCACATTTTTGTTGCAGCATACACGGGACCGTTAGATCTCAACTACAACGCACCAAGAACATTTAAGTTAATTAAAAATAATTTGCTCATAAACAAGCTATTATAAAATTTGAATTTTTTTAAAAAAGTCAGACCGCTGTCAGAAAGCTGCCACTTCAGACCGCTGTCAGAAAGCTGTCACCGCACCTAGATAGTTGCGGTGTGAAAACACTGTTTTCAACGTCTTGTAAACGCATAAGCTGTCAAAACACAGTTTACCCAAACAGATCAAGTGCGTTTTTAAACCCCAAACAGACCCTTAATTTATTATGACATAACAAATATTAATTATTACATAAAATCAACGTAGAACTGTTTTTGAGTGTTGAGAATCTTGAAGCCTTCATTTCTAAGAAAATAAGTATTTTGAATGAAATTAAAAGTATTAAATACTAAAAAATGTCTAGAAGAAGTATCCACTTATCAAAGTATTTTTTAGTATTCCAAATGTGTTAGAATCTAGAAAATTTAATTGTACATATTTCTAGATCATGTTAGTATATTTCTAGAATGATTTTGTCTTTAAAACCTTATCATGTTGAGCATGAATGAAAATCCTAAATTTCTAATTTCTTTGTTGTCTGTCATTCATCTTTTTATTTTATAATGCAGCACTTTCTACGTATACAATGTCTGGAATGCTGAGAAATTTTTGCCAAATGTCATAATGAACGGAAATATAACTAAAGGAATAAGCCGAATAAGTGGGCATATCCTCAACGATGAAATATTGTTTGTCGTGTTGTGTAGATGGATTCCTCTATGATATCTTGGAAATCTTATAGAAATCCCCTAAAAACAGGAGAGGGCACTGAAGAAGCCTACCCCTACACATGAACCTCTAATGAAGCTTTCGTTCACCTGGGCCTTCAACTACTTTTATTATGGAAGTTGTCTGGATTAGCTTTTTATTTGTACATTCATTGTAAATATCTAATTACCAAGTTAGATTTTCAAGGAAATGGTGTTTTAAGGCACTCAAGATAATAATTTATTATTATTTTTTTAATCGTAAGTTCTAAGAAGAATTTTAAGCTACCCAACAATTTATTGCATAAAAGATATATTTTTGT